TGATGTGTCTCTCACACGGATGTTTCTCTTTCTCTCTCTCTTCCCCCCTTCCACTCTCTCTGAAAAGCAATGGAAAAAATATCTTTAGGTAAGGATTAACAACAACAACAAAAAAGAAACAAATGCAAAAGTTCAGGAATAGTTGGGACAATCCTAAAAATTAACAAATTTCAATTACTTTACATTTATTTATTTTCAGAGAGAGAAGAGAGAAGGAGAGAGAGTGAGAAACATCAATAAGAGTATCATTGATTGGCTGCCTCCTGCATGCCCCCCACTGGGGATTGAGCCTGCAACCCAGGCATGTGCCCTGACCAGGAATCAAACTGTGACCTCCCAGTTCATAAGTCGGCACTCAACCACTGAGCCACATTGGCCGGGCACTTTACATTTAGATATCAAGATTTAGCCTGGGCGGCATGGCTCAGCGGTTGAGCATTGACCTAGGATTCAGGAGATCATGGTTCAATTCCAGGTCAGGGCACATGCCCAGGATGCGGGCTTGATCCCCAGTTGGAGGTGTGCAGGAGGCAGCTTATCAATGACGACTCTCTCATCATTATTCTTATTTTTATTTTTTTTTCAAATATATCTTTATTGATTTCAGAGAGAGGAAAGAAGAGGGAGAGTGAGAGATAGAAACATCAATGATGAGAGAGTCACCGATCGGCCACCTCCCGCATGCCCCTGACCAGGGACTGAACCCGCAACCCAGACATGTGTCCTGACCGGGAATCGAACCCCGATCGCCTGGATCCTAGGTCGACGCTCAACCGCCAAACCACGTCCAGCCAGGCTCTCTCATCATTGAAGTTTCAACTCTCTCTCTACTTCTCCCTTCCTAATATATTAATAAAAATACATATATTTTTTTAAAGATTTGTTATAAATTTGGCAAGGTGCTGAGGTACTGGCTTAGGGACAAAGTTGACCCTGGGAACCAGCGCGCATGTGTGCAGACAGTCAGCTATGACCCTGCAGGGCAGCAGGAAAGGAATCTTTCCAATAAAGACACTGGGTCCAATTTAGCGCAGCTCATAGCTCACTGGGACTCGTGAGCTGTGTATCCAAGTGTAAGAGGGGAAGTCGTACAACATCCACAGAGACAATACCAGAAGCAAGCACAGTCCTCGTGACCTACTGGCCTCACCAAAATTAAACCTTCTGCTAAAGACCCTGTGAAGGGGCTGAAATGATGAGCTCTTGACTGAAGAACATATTCACAGACTACAGACACAACAAAGGACTTCTGTCCAGCAAACACAAAGAACGCCCAAAGCTCAGCAGGAAACAAACAAACTCAGCCATTAGAAAATGGGCAAAAGATGTGACTAGACACTTCACTGACAAGGACACAGGGTGAGATAACCCTGGCCAGCTTTACCGTCAAGGAGATGCAAATGACAGCCACAGGCAGCCCACCCACACCCTCAGACCACAAGGGTGGGAAGCAGGGGTCTCACATTGCTGGTGGTACAGCCACTTTGGAAAATAGTTTGGCAGTTTCTTAAAAAAAAACTAAATGTGTGCTTACCACATGACCAAGCAGCTGTGCATTCGGCACTTATCCCAGAGATATGAAAACTTAAGTTCACACAAAAACCCGTAGGTGGATTTCATAGAGGCTTGATTCATAATAGCCCCAAACTGGAAACTGTTGTCCCTCCATGGGAACACCCACACCACAGAACCAATGCTGGCTGAGCACAGCTCAAGTGGGTTGAGAGGGCACAGGCTCGTCACCAACTGTCACATCTGCTGAGTGCAGTCAAAGCGGTGGCCAAATGCTCAGATCTAGGGTGTGGGGCAGGGCTGAGGAAGGGGTGACATGGCTGCACAGGGTACAGAGGATCCTATGTGGTCACACAAATCTACACGTGTGATAGACTGCACAGAAGTAAACACACATTCAGGCACACTCACACTTGGTGCATGGAACGCTGGTGAAACCTATAAGGGTCAGTGTCCCAAACAAGGCTCTGAAGCGCAGTCATGTGCCTCTGGGGGACTGGGAAATGAGGAGTCGTCTCTCTGAACTGTTTCTTACAACTGTATGGGCATCTACAATGATCTCAAAATAAAGTTAAAAAATAAAACGAGTGAAAAGCAAGCCACAGAGTAGGAAATAATATTGGCAACACTCTACTAAACAGGAATATAGGCTAAAGACTTCAGCAGCCACTTCACATCAGTAAACACACAGAAAGGTACCCACGTCTGTAGTCATCAGGGAAATGCACATGAAACCCAACACATACCAGGACACGCCCACCTGAACAGAGACCTAGCCTCAGGGAAAACAGAGCATGTGACTGTCCCATACCACATGGCAGTGTCTGTGGAACACACATCTCTCACCAGCCATCCCACTCCAGGCACTGTTCCCAACGGAAACATGCTGGGTTCCCACACTGAACCTGTTGTAGACCACTGCTACAAAGGACATTTCCAGGACAGCTGGCCAACTGGGACCTGGACTGTGAACTAAGTAAAGTGCCAGCTTTAGTTCACAGACTATAGATGTTCAGCTCCCTGAGGCCTCCAGCTACACTGGACCACAGCAGCAGGAAGAGCACACTCTAAGATTAAGGGAACGAATGGCCTTCTGAATGCCTGGCCTCGTTAGCAGTGGGGAACCACCAGGATCATTCCAGCAGCAAAATGGGAGGATCAGCTGTCATGTAATCCTTGCCTGGCACTGCGTCAGAATGCACTGCCAGAGGCCAGCGCTGTGAGGCTGGGGGGATCAATAGCCCTATAGGGCCCAGCCCAGGGCAGGGAAGATCCTGGAGGGAGGCTGGTGACACTAGGCTACAGGTACCAGCCAGGGCACTAAGGCAAGAAACAGAAAGCATGCATATTGGAAAGGAAGATGCAAAACTCTTTAGATGCAGAAGGCATGTGAGAGACATGCAGGAAATCCTTAGGAATCTACGAGAGGGATACTTAAATAGGAAGGTTGTAGGACACAAGGATAATATCTCAAGATCAACTGTATCTCTCTATACTTGGAAAATGCAAAATTTTAAATATCATTTACAAAATTAGTATCACAAAGCCTGGAATATTCTCTCTCTGTCTGTCTCTCTCTCTCTCTCTCTCTCTCACACACACACACACACACACACACACACACACACACACAGCCCGCCAGCCGGTGGACAACCCTAACTGCAACTAGAGGAGACCTGGAGCCAGAACCACCCAGCTAAGCTATCTCTGAATTCCTTACCCACGCAGAAACTGTGAGATAATAAATGGTTACTGTTTAAGCCATTCTATTTTAGGGTTATTTGTTAAACAGCAATAGACAATTAATACAGAGACTTAAATAAATGGAGATATGTATATACCATGTTTTATATTGTTAAAATGTCAATTCTGCCCAGCCGGGCGTGGCTCAGCGGTTGAGCATCAACCTAGAATCCAGGAGATCATGATACAATTCCCAGTCAGGGCACATGCCCAGCTTATGGGCTCCATCCCCAGTCGGGGGCGTGCAGGAGGCAGCAAATCAATGATCCTCTCATCACTGATGTTTCTATCTCTCTCTTTCCCTCTCCCTTCCTCTCTCTGAAATCAATAAAGATGTATTAAAAAAAAAAATTCACTCGTGCCTTTCTACAAAAAGGCTTACTGGAGTTTTGATTGGGATTGTATTAATGCTATAGCTCTATTTGGGGAGAATTGACTTTTTAAAATATATATATCTTTATTGATTTCAGAGAGAGGAAGGGAGAGGGAGAGGGAGAGATAGAAACATCAATGATGAGAGAGTCGTCATTGATCGGCTGCCTCCTGCACACCCTGGACAGGGGATCAAGCTCATAACCGTGCCCTGACTGGGAATCGAACCATGATCTCCTGGATCCTAGGGAGATTCCAGAAACAGACCCACTCATGCACACCAACTGATCTTCAACAAAGGTGTTACAATGGAGAGAGGATGGTCTTCAAAAAGTGGTATTGGCACGACTGGATGTCCACATGGAAAACAATGACCCTTGGCCTCTACTCATGAAAGAAAGGACAAACCAGACTTCATCAAAATTAAGTCTCTGCTGTTCAAGACACTGACACAAAACTACCAGGCCAGCCAGACTGTGAGAACAGGACTGGCATCCTGAAGATACAAAGAACTCTTAAAAGTTGGTAAGACAAACAGCCCATTAAAATTTTTTTAAAAATTGTTTTTTAGAGAGAGAGGAAGGGAGAGGGAGAGAGAAAGAGAGAAACATGGATTGACTGCCTCCTGCATGGCCTCTACCAGGACTGGCCCCTACAACCGGGACAGGTGCCGGTTGGAATTAGTGCACGGACAATGCTCAACCAACTTAGCCCCAGTTGCCAGAGCAAACAGCCCGTTTTTTAAGGCAAAAGATATGAACAGTGTCTTCACAAAAGATATACAAATGGCCAACAAAGTAAGCGCAAGAAAAGACGCTCAATGCCATTCACCATTAAGAAATACAAATTAAAACCACAAGCCACCGCTACACACTCATAAAAATGGCTGAACTTTAAAAGGATGGTACCACTGACTTGAAGAGAAAAGGGAATGTAAAATAAATGTGAAGCCATTTTGGAAAATAGTTTGGCACTTTCTTATAAAGTTAACCACACACTTTAATCCATCCTTTCTATCATTTCAGACCAAGAGAAACAAAGCCCATGTCCACACAAAGAGGTGTGTGTACGAATGCTCAGCGCAGCTTTGCTCACAGCAGCAGGTGTATGTACAGATGCAGTGGCTGTACACCTACATGGTGGAATACCAACCAGCACTCAGCAAGACAAAGGAGGGACGACCCATACAGCCGGGCTTTCCCAACATTAGGGCAGGGCAAAGGAGTCAGACACCAAGGGTTTGTGGTATGGTTTAGATTATGTGAAACTCCACAAGGGAGACATGGAATCCATAGGAGAAAGCATGCAGTGGTTGCTGAGGCCAGCTGGAGAGCTGACCACAGGGAACTGCAGGGGTGACAGAGGCTCTATACCTGGACTGCGGTGGTGTTCCCCAGGATGCACACACTTCTCAAAGTCGACCCAGCACTTGCTCTTCCTCCATGGGACCATCTGTGGAAGCCAAATTTCCTGCCCCTTTCTCAGCCTGCTGTGCTGGCAACATCCTGCCCAAGGCCATGGAGCAAGAAGGGGTGGGGTGGTTCACTCTCTCCCTTCCACCTCCACACAGGGTTCAGTGTGGTAAAGAGGTGGTGGGGTGGGGCCAGGGATAGAAGAGGGAGGGTTTCAGGGCGAGTACAAGAACCAGATCACTCACTCTGGCTAAGGTGCGAAGGATGAAGGCAAGGGACTGAGACAGAGCCAAGGTCACCAGGGGTCACTGCTGCAGCCCAGGTATTTGGATGAAGGAATGGACAGGAAGTGCCACAATGAGGGCTATTGAGGAGGAAGTTTTGAGAGAGCTGGGAGGTGAGGAAAGAGCCTGGAACTCCCATTCAGATATCTTGCTTTGCTAACGGGTAGACTGTGGCAGGGGTGCTGTGGTGGGGCACTTTTGGACAGGTACAGTATGCTGGGTCACCAAAGGTTCGCCTGAGACTCAGATTCCAAAACTGCACACAGTGAACAGGCAGACACCAGAGATTCAGAAATACCTAGAATGAGACCCCAACGTTAAGCCCACAGATACAAGAGGCCCTTGCCTAGGTGCCTGCCAGACCAAACAACCTTCCAGGGACAGTAGAGTCCAGACACATCCCAACAGGTGAGGCATGAGGCCAGGATGAGCCAATGGAGAGCTAGGGGAGGAGTGTCCAGCCAACATGGAGGAAATCCACCCAGTTATCAGGAGGGCTCCCTGTCCCAACTCTGAGCCACACACATCCATCACAAGGAGAAGCACAGAGCTGGGCTCTGCACAGGCCCCCTTACACAGCTTCCAGTCTCCACAGAAGCTCAGTCCCAAGCTGGGGCTGCCCTTGGTGCCCCCGAAGTGAGCTAAGTGGCAGAGCCAGGGAGGCCTCATCACACTTCTCTCAGGGAAACCCCAAGCCTGCCAGGCGAGCACCTAGGGCACAAAGACAGAGACTAGGAGCAGTGTGGTGCCTCCACTGCCACTGCCACCCCCAAGTTAAGGGTCCAGAGAAAAAAGGCAGGCAGCACTGTGGGGAGGGCCATCCTCTCTCTGGCTTCACTAAACCTGGAATGACTCTACACCTCCCTCTCTGCAGCCATGGAAATTAATCCCACGTCACCTGAGCCTCTGCTCCAGGACAGCAAGGGGTCCACACCACCCAGGGTGTGTCTGGACACACCCTCCTAGGCTTGGAGCACCTCCTGCAAACCTCGGGGCCAGGCATTTTCAACACACTAGTTAGTACTTCTCACCTTGACCCCAATCTGTGAGGTGGAGCCCAGGATCTCCGCACTATAAGTGAGGTCACTCAAACCCCCGAAAGTTTAAGGAACGTGCCCCAGACAGGCTCCAGTTTCTCCTCTGGCCTAACTCCAAAGCCCACACAAAGCCTGGGCAAGTCACTTCTCTGTGGGCCGCATTTCTGGGCTGAAAATGGAGATAATTCTAGTGCTGACCAACAGGTTGCGAGAATGAAAACAATTCCACATGTAGGTAAAACACGAAAAGACTTTCTGGTGGTCTTCAGGGACTGTCACTTCTAGAAGCCGTTCCTGACCCTTAGCACCCCACCCCTGGGCTTTGTCCACCATCTGCCCCGGCCTCTCTGTGTGCTGCCCAGATATGGGATTCCCCGAGGACGCCCCCGTCTGGGCCCTGCCTCCTCTCCCTCTCAACCTGGTCTCGTCTTTCTCGTTTCCTCTCTCGGCTCAGCTCAGCCTCCCCTCTCCCCAAGGTTGGCTTCCACTTTGGTGGCGGCCTCCTCCGTCCCGGGGGCCCGGCCTCCTCCGTCCCGGGGGCCCGGCCTCCTCCGTCCCGGGGGGGTGGGGCCCGGCCTCCTCCGTCCCGGGGGGCACGGCCTCCTCTCCCGCCGCAGGTCCCGGAAGTCCGAGCCTCACCTTCCGCCTCGCGCAGTCGATCGGATCCCGTCCGTCGGTCAGTCAGCCGCGCGCTCCTCCTGGCGCCGCAGGGGCGGGCCCCGCGCCGGGCCCTCGCCATGGCAACCCTACACTTCCGGGCCGCACAGCCCAGAGCCGGAAGCGGTGGCGCCACGTGGGAGCCGGGGGCGGGGCCTGCCCCGAGCTACGCCTGGACCCGCACCGACCGTCCCGGGAACGTGGGGCCGAGGCGTCCTCGGAGTGGGTGGGCCCGGGGCGGGAAGGGCGAGCGGTCGGAGGGCTTCCGGGAGGGGCTCGTTCGTTTGGGCGGGGCTGCTCAGGAAGGGTCGGCGCTGCGCCGACCAAGCGGAGGCGTCGCGCGGAGGGAACAGCGCGCAGGGAGGTGGAGAGCCAGCGTGCGAGCGCGTGGGAACGGTGGCTTAGGAGCGGGAGTGTGGTCAGAGACGACCGGTCAGGGCACAAGGAGCTGGGCTTTACCCTGGAAGCCAGGGAGGACCAGTAGGGGAGAGCGGGTGGCTTAACACGTGGAAGAGAAAAAGACTGCTGACCGAGTAGGGCTAGGAGCCACAGATATTAACAACCTGTGAAACATAAGAAACCCTTCAACTAGAGCCCTGGAAATAGAGTTGAGAAGGCGTCGAGTTCAGAAGAAGCCAGGTGAAGTCTGAAGGGAGAGTCTGAGGTAGTGGAAACAGCGTGGAACCCGCATGCACCTCAGCCCCGGCATCCTCCCCCAGTGCACCCCACTACTCAGCCCTTCCCTCCGTGCCTTACCATGTTCCTATGGCCTCCCTGAGGGCTGGGCGTCCGGGTACTAGCCATCACTGCTAGTAGTATCCCCTTGGACAAACTTGCGTGTATGTGTGGTCGGGAGAATCTGGGCTTTGAGGCAGGGTACAGAGCACAGGCCTTGATTGACCTGAGGGGCAGAGCCACAGATCACATAGCCAGGGAGGACAAGGTGAGGGGACAGAAGAGAGTCTGGGAGTTAGGAGGACTGGTGAGTCTCTGGGTAGCTGCCAGAGGCATTTTGCTACAACCACATCTTTGGTTCAGGTCCTGTCCCTGCTAAACCCCTCAGAGGGGACTGGGTCTACACAGGGGGTGCTGGCCCCTCAGGCTTCACTAGCCTGAGCCTCCACCACCTCTCCTAGAGTGCCACTCCTCCACTCAGGCCAGCCCCCACCCACCCGGAGAGCATTTCCCTCCTAGACCAGGGATTTTCAACACTGCAGGAGAAACACGTGTGCCGCAAGAGTTTTTAAAACATTCAGTACCTGACTAGAGAAGGGCACTGACCTCTTTTCCCTTAGATTATCAAATAAAAATATGACAACGTGCCCAGCCGGCATGGCTCAGTGGTTGAGCATGGACCTATGATCCAGGAGATTGCAGTTCAATTCCCATTTATGGCACATGCCCAGGCTTCAGGTTCAATCCCCAGTGTGGGGCGTGCAGGGGGCAGCCAATCAATGACTCTTATCATTGATGTTTCTATCTATCTCTCCCTTTCCCTTCCTCTCTCTGAAGTCAAAAAGATATGTTAAAAAATATATGACAACAGCCAACACAACAATAGCTGATGTGAAAGAATCAAAATTACACCTATTTTATTTTGTCAGATTAGCAAAATATTTTTTGGTGTGCCACAGAATTTTAGTAGTTTATGTGTACCATGAGATGAAAAAGATTGAAAATTGTTATTCTAGACTAAGCTGCAGGGTGCTGTGGCTGCCTGGGAAGTCCGTCCTGTGCACCCAGGACACAACAAACCTGGGTACTCCCACCTGTTAATAGAAATAGTTTATGTGTGTATTAGAGATAGAAACATAGAATTGACGTGTGTAATTGACTTGACATAAGTGATCCCATTTTGTGTGACTTGACATAAGTAACTCCATTTTGTGTTACTAAGTGTAACTTTGAAGTAAACAACCTACGCCCTGGCCTGCGCGCCAATGATAAGAGATTAACACCTTGTAGCCCCGGCTCTCTGCCAAGGCACCCTGTAGGACCCCGATAAGACACACTGAAGACGTCGTCGACTGACACCACGCCTTCGACTGAACTATTTAAAAGCGGAAGCTTTCGGCCACATCTTCAGACGCTTGTCTGCCCTCCACGGACTTCATCTCCAGCTCCGGGAAAGCTGACCCTTGCCTTGCTCTGCCTCGCATCCTCGGAGAAGGACTGCAGTTACCGACACCGTCGCGGCTGCATATCTGAACCTGTGTGTGTCTTTCGGCGGATCCTCCGGGTGGCCTGCTGGTGCTGAGAACCATCGGGAACTGGTAAATAAACCCTGTGTGATTTGCTCTATGTTTGTCTCTGTCTCCTTCCTTGAAGCTTAAGGTATTAGCTCGGTCTTGAACCAAAGTGTCTCTCGATCCTCATGGTGGTATATCCACGTATTGGGAGTTAGACCACCTGCATTTATGTCTCCAGAGAGGTCTGGGACACCACCCCAGGGTGAAGCCAGGTGGTCCTTAAATACTTTTCTGAAGAGGGACTATGACCCATGGAGCCGTATCCTTAAGGCCTGCCCTGAGAAGTGACCAGTAAAACCCCTACAGCTAGGAAACTTCTCCCTCCATGCACACCAGCCCAGGGGTACTGCCCAAGTGCCCCAAGGAATGACAGGCATCCTCCCCAGGGGTAACCCCCAGAGCATCTGGACCCAGAGCAGGAGGAGAATGAGGCAAGCCTGGCTCCAAGAAGTCCTTGGTGGCCAGACAGGTCCACCTCAGCCAGGGCCAGTAAGGTGCACAGTAAAACAATGAGGGCAGTCAACTCCAAGGACGAATGGTTGACAGGCAACAAAAGGGGAGGAAAATGGTCTCCAGGGCCTGGGGAGCCCACTAAGGCCCTGCAGCAGCCCCTGGAGAAAATCCCTTGAATCAACTATGTCCCTCTTTTTTTCCTGAGGTTTCCTCCTGGAAGCCCTCCCAGTCCACCACTCGGTCCTTTCAGCTGCTTGGCCTTGAACTGTACTTGGCAGCTTTGCTAGGGCAGATCACTTTCCTGTCTGTTAAATGGGAGCCTGAGACCCAGCCCAGAGAGATTGATAAAATAACCATGGGTCAGGGGCCCCTTCCAGGGGCTTTTCCTTCCAGCTGATAGGGGGTGCCAAAGGCAGCCCAGGGGTGAGAAATGAGGCCTGGGTGGCCGCTTGCAACCCCCACTGGAATCTTCCCTGCCCCTCCCTTCCAGATTAACTGAAACCTGCTAATTGTGGCAGTCCTCAGCATGATCCCCTCCCCCACTGCTGTATTCCATCCTCCCTTTGCCTCCCCTCCCCTCCCCCTTCCATCCGAATGATAAAGGGCTTGGCCTGCCTGCCCCCACCCGACCTCAGGCTCTGGCCCTGCCTCGCCACACTGTCCTATTGCCCTGCGCCCTCAGCCCCTCCAGGCCCCTGCCCACGTTGCCGGCCTCCCCTTCATGGGGCCCTACAGGAACCCACGCCTGGGGCTCCCCGGGCGAGAGTCGCCCTCCCAGCCCCCCAAGAGGAGGAAGAAGAGATACCTTCGGCATGACAAGCCCCCCTACACCTATTTGGCCATGATCGCCCTGGTGATCCAGACCGCACCTTCCCGCAGGCTGAAGCTGGCCCAGGTGAGAGGGTCCCCGCTCTCCCTCACACTCCGTGGTCAGACCTTTCCCCAGACCCGACCCCCACCTACCCCCAGCCTTAGGTTCCGACCTCCATCCCCACCTGGCCCTACCCAGCTATACCAGTGGGGCCAGTCACGACCTGGGCACCAGAGAGAGCTGAGGAGCTCAGAAGAGCCCTTCCCAGTGAGGTGTCCTCTTCTCCCTCGGGCGCACAGGTGTTGGGGGTGGCGCAGGGGTGCCCCTAAGCCTGGCTGGGGGGGAGGGGCTGTGCTACCCCTTCCACGCCTGGGTTCACAGCCCCTGCCGTCTGCCCGGTGGTTTCAGATCATTCGTCAGGTCCAGGCCATGTTCCCCTTCTTCAGGGAAGACTACGAGGGCTGGAAGGACTCCATCCGCCACAATCTCTCCTCCAACCGATGTTTCCGCAAGGTGGGGCAGGGCGAGGGTCCGAGCTGTAGCCCCGGGCGGGGATGGGAGCGGAAATCCTGAGTTTCCCAGGTCGGGCAGTCCCACCAATTCTGCACACCCCGTCCCACACACACCAGGTGCCCAAGGACCCTGCAAAACCCAAGGCCAAGGGCAACTTCTGGGCCGTCGACGTGAGCCTGATCCCCGCCGAGGCGCTGCGCCTGCAGAACACAGCCCTGTGCCGGCGCTGGCAGAGCAGGGGCGCACGGGCGACCTTTGCCAAGGACCTGGGCCCCTATGTGCTGAATGGCCGGCCCTACCGACCGCCCAAGCCTCCCAGTCCCCAGCTGCAGCCCAGCGAGGGCTTCAGCATAAAGTCTCTGCTGGGGGACCCCAGGGAGGGAGCTCCACATAGCAGCCCAGGTCGAGTGTGTCCCCTTCCAAATAAGGAGGCTGTGGTGCCTGCGCCACCCCTTCCCTCTGAGAGGCCTCTATGGCCCCTCTGCCCCCTCCCAGGGACCATGATAGCAGAGAGGGAGACTTCCCAAGGGGGAACCAGCAGGCCCTCACCCCTCTCCCCTGAGCCCAGAGCCTGGCCCCTCCACTTACTACAGGGTACCCCTGACCCCAGAGGACTGTCTGGTGGGAGTCAAGGGGCCTCACTTTGGGGGCAGCTACCCACCTCCTACTTGCCCATCTATACCCCCAATGTGGTAATGCCCTTGGCCCCACTACCACCCACCTCCTGCCCCCAGTGCCCACCCTCAACCAGCCCAGCCTACTGGGGTGTGGCCCCTGAAACCCACAGCCCTCCACGGCTGCTGTGGGATCTAGATGCGCTATTCCAGGGGGTGCCACCCAACAAGAGCATCTATGATGTGTGGGTGAGCCATCCCCGGGAACTGGCTGCCCCCACCCCGGGCTGGCTGCTCTCCTGGTACAGTCTGTGAGGCTCCAAGACAGGGGCTGCTTTCCTCTCTCACCCACCCTGCCCCCTCCTGCTGCCATTGACTTGAGGGGAACCAAGGCCAAGAGGACCAAGAAGTGTGGTCACAGAGGCCTTGAAACACCAGACACCAGCCATTCTGAGAGTCTACAATGTTTATTGGACTACCCACAAAGGGTTGTGTCCACTTGGGCACCACCCTGGCCCTGATGGTCACTCAGGCCTCTGCTACCCCCAGAGGCAAGGCTGGGAGGAGTGGCACTGTTTGGAGTAGCCTTTCCTGTCTTCCTGGCCCCACCTTCTCTGGCCCTCCCTCCATCCATCCATCCATCACCATCTGTCACCTCCCCTCTCCTGGCTCCAGCGTTGGGGGAGGGAGAACTTAAATGGCAGCTCCAACCTGAAGTCCTCTCCTCAACTGTCTGGGAAGGAGGTAGCACCTTTTTGGGGAAAGGCATAAGGAACAGGGACCCTACCTGTTTTTGGTGGTGTTTTGGGGGAGGTAACAGTAAAAGGAATCGACCACATTTTAATGCCAAGTCTGATATTTGGTGGCAGGGTGGTGATTGTGGTGACTCAGAAACAAGTAGGCCAGGCCAGGCTGCTCTGGGGTCCCCTGCTGCGTGAGGCTATTGCAGCAAACAGTGATAAGGAGGGAGCTGAGGGCCTGGGGCTGAGGGGCTGGCAATTGTTACTCTCCGCGGAACACTCCTCACGGGGAGGGGAATGGGACCACTCTAGGAGTTTGGGGGCCAATGAGCCCCCAGAGACCAAGGAGGTTGTGGGAGTACAGGGATTTTGCTGCCTCTGCCAGCAGAGGCATGACCCCAGACTCCTTGGGCCAGACTACGAGAGCAGGTCTTCTGGGGGCACAAGAGCCGAGCCGCTGTCGGGGCCAGGGCTTGGAGGGCTGCCTGGGGATGGTGTAGGGCTGCAGGGAGTCCCAGTGACTGGTGTGTCAGTGCTGAGGGAGGAGGGCGTCCCAGAGCGCCGGGCCCTGTTGCGCCGAGCTGGCCCCAGCTCCACTTGGCCTACTCGCTCAGCGAACTTGAGGGAGCACACTGTCTCGCCAAGGTCCTCTGGCCGCGTGGAGATCTACAGGGAAACAGCGCTGGTGAGCACGCCCTGAATGAGCGGTGCCTGGTATGCAAATTACACTCCAGTGGGCCCTGCACCCCACCCAGTGTGGTGCCCAGGTGCCCACCTGCAGCAACAGCACCACAGTGGCACCAGGACAGAGTGCTGGCTGGAGCAGGCGCGTGAGCTGGGAATCGCGAAAGGGCACGTGTGGCCGGTGGGCTCGCAGTGCGGTCATCACGCCTCCCAGGGCCAGCAGTGAACGGTTGATTGTCCGGGCCTCCTGAAGTCGTCGGGCGTTGTGAGGGTCGCCCCGCATCCTGCAGATGGCCCCTGCCTTCCAGGCACGCTCCGATCCCGCCAGGTCCACCAGGTGCAGTGTGCCTGCAGGGGCAAGCAAGCCTAAGTGGAAGGGACTCCAATATCCCATGCAGAAGGGCCCTCTGTGGGGTAGGGTGCTGGCTATGGTACCTGCAGTGCCTGAACCGAGCGGTGGGGACACTGCTCGCAGCGTCAGTGTGACCAGAGCGTGAGAGCGGGAGCTGTGCTGGTTCATGGCAGTGGCAGCAGTAGCCCGGTTGCTCCTCCCCAGGCTCAGCATCTGGAGCATGCAGCAACAGGGCTTGGCCTACTACAGGGTCCAAATCCCCAGGTGCCAGCACAGGGTAGGGCGTTGTAGGGCTGTCCGGCCTACTGGGAGCCAGCCTTACCTGGTGCAGTGTCTCCAGGTTGGGCACCTCCCAGTACGTGAGGCCAGCCACTTGGATTCCTCCCTGGCCTGCTGGGCCCTGCCTCACAGCCAAGCGCTCAGGGGGCCCTGGGGCTAGGAGGTCCCTGGGGAGAAAGGTGAGGGCTTGGTTCAGGGGTTCTTGGCACAGTGGGGGGGGTCCAGACTTAGGCAGCCAGGGTGCCACCCTGACCTGACAGCCTCGTTGTAGATCTCCACCATGCTGAGGGTCACTCGGTGCTGCCCTCCAGTCCTCATCTCCTGGAACAGTGACTGTAGCGCCCTAGGAGCTATGCCAGGGTCCTCAGGTGGGCCCTGGAGACAGGTTGGGGTGCCATCGGGCTCACATCCCAGACCCTGGCTCCAGGAGCCACCCGGAGCACTCCCCTCCTTTTCACCTCCATGCTGTAGGTCTTCCCAGTCCCCGTCTGACCATAGGTGAAAATGCAGACGCTGTAGCCTCGGAGACAGGATAGCACAGCAGGCTTCAGCTCCCTGAAGACCTAGGGGTGTTCGGGGAGGGATCCTGAGCCCTGGACCTGGGGCAAAGCGTGAATAAAGCTTGCTTCCTCTGGAAAGAAGCCTCTGGCAGAAGTTCACTGGAAGGGTAGGTCTCCTGCCAGGCAGAGGCTGCTCCCTGGAGAAAGTGGCATTTGCAAGAATTTGAAGGCAAAGGGAGGGAACAGGCACAGAGTATTGGAGTCCTGGTGACAACTTGGGAGGCGCAGGGAATTAGTCATCAAGAGCCCAGATGCAGGGCTCACTGCTAGGCTCAAACCCCAGGGCATGACTACCAAGGTTTCCCCTCACAGGAGACGAGAGCTACAGTGGCACCTGTTAAGGGGGCGCATGTGCCCAGAATGCTACAGTGGTGCTCTCCACACAGAGGATGAGCCCAGAAAGGCCTGGTGTGGGGATGGTGGCCCACCAGGATTCTGGGCGCTGGGAGGGTGCAGAGATGGCTGATGGGGAGATGGGGCTGGGACTTGTGTCCTGTTGGCAACTGGACACCAACAGCAGCCTTTTGAGCAATGGCATGGCCACCTTTCGTACACAGAAGGCTGGTAACTGAAAAAGCTGTCAGTTCTGCTGAAAGTGCTGGCTACCAGCCATGAGAACAGAATCCAGAATTGCAATTCAGTCACTAAGATTTCATGACTAGAAGGAAGCACTGGGGGTGACAGTGGTGCCATTGCAGATGTGTGGAACACTGATAGATGCCTTTCACTCTTTCATTCAGACGCCCCTGTCCAGTACAAGGGGCCCCCCTGTGCAGGGCTGCAGTTTAGGCTGGGACTGAAGCCTGGGTCGTGTGTCAGATAAACAGGTAGGTGGGAAACAGTTCTGGTACCTCAGTAAGTGGGGAAGGGAAACCTGGCCACCCTCTGAGGCCAACAGGGGTCTGATTCTCAGCCAGCTCTGCCCCTGACCTAATCCCCTCCCAGGTTTGTTTCCATTTCCTGAACAATGGAAGCTCTAGCAGCAAAATTTGTGTGCAACAGATGGTATATGTGAAGCAAGGTGGTGGTGGGTTGGGTTAAGCCTCTGCTTTTCTGTTGGGTCTGGCAGGAAAAGGGTGGTGGTAAGGAAGGTGGGATCTGCACAAGAGAATGGAGAGCTTGAGGCTGAGGCTGGAGGCTCTCCTGCTCACCAGCCCCTGCTCTACGCCCTTGGCCACAAAGCAAGGAGGTGTTCCTGTCCTCACAGCTCGCAGACTCTACACCCTGGGCCACAGAGTAGGCAGCCAGTGAAGCCCGGGGGAAGGTGGTCACAGCACTGTCCCCATCACAACAGCACCCCACCTATGCTCCCCAACCAACTCTGCATGAGCAGTGACTATCACCTTAGGTTCATTTTCCTTAGGTTCCTGGTAAAAAATTATTTTTTAAAATGTTGACCTTCCTGTCTAAATCAGATCTGTTTTCCCTGGGCCTACAGAGTTTAATTGGGGGGGGGGGCAGGTACAGAAGGAAAACCCTGGAAGGAACGGAGATGCCTAGCTCGGCTTCCAGTCCTGCCTCCCAGCCCCCCTTCCCTTCCCTGCTGGAATCTAGGCATTCTTGCTCCTAGAAGGGCAGAAGGACAGGGTAGGGGACTCTGAGGGAGGGTTAACACAGGTGTAAGGGTGGAGCATCACCTCCTCCTGGCTGGCATCTGGAGGGAAGACCCAGTCCAAGCGGAAACGCCGCTGGTGCCCTCGATAGCAGGTAGTGACTGTGCCGCCTGGACCAGGCTCCGAGCTCACCAGGCTGGACGGTGTCCCTGGCCTCAGCCGACACAGTACACGGATATTTCCTGGGGTAGAGATCGGGTCAGTGGGCTGCCTCCCAGACCCTGAGGCATGGAGGGCTCCAGTTCCTCC